GTTGAAGTCCGCCAGGCTTCAAGTTGCCAAGGTTGGACACCCCTGCTGTAGAGGGAGTTCAGCTCCCTTTCCATGCTTAGAAGGGAACTCCTTAGGCAAGGTGCAGGAAAGGAGCTCAAATACTCATTCCTGCACCCCACAAAGGAGTATTTGGCTCCTCTCTGGATAAGAGAAAAACGTTAAGCTGGCCTTTTTAAGCAGTCTTTTAGAGGAGAGACACATGCTGAATAACTAAATCAGAGTCCACCTGGGATATTTTGATGCCTGCAGTAGAAAATCCAAAGAGAATATTTTTCCCGTAGAAGAGAGATGGGGAGATTGCTCACACAATTTGCTTTCTGTGAAGCCGGCATAATTTTCCTCTGAAAGTATGCTTTCTCCAAAAGTACCGGTAATGGCCTTTGGTTTCTGTTTTATAGTACAGGCCTTGTACTGTGTTTCTGCGATTGGCCAGTTGTGAGGTTATGCTGTGTTTTGTTTTTTCCCTCCAGCAAGCCGGTCTGTTCCCTGCAAAGCTTCAACATATTAGCTTTTGACAAGGAGAGGCTGGAGAAGAAGGTTAGTGATGTGGATCTGTGTGTGTGTATATGTGCATGCGCACAGACGCATGCAGGGAAAGGGTGAGGCAGTCGCATTGCACAACCTAAGTATACAGTGTGCCTGGCTTTGCTTGAATTGACACCGAAAAGCAATCCCCCAATTTTCCATGCTTCAGATTAAATCATTTTTAGGAAGTGAGGGAGGAAGAAAAGAAGATGCATGCGGGCACACATACATACATAGTTTCACAGCAAGAGTTTCTTTTCAGTTGGCTTTTATCTTTTTATAAACATTTTATCTTTTCATAAGCATAGGTATTACGTTTGTTCCACAAAATTTAAATGAGAACTGAATAGCCCTAATATTACCAAATATTTCCCTGTTTTTCTTTTGTTCTTCTTACATGGGGGGGGGGGGGGGGGGAGAATGTGTTGATTATTCCACCTGTTTGACAATTAACTTGCTATAAATTGGTCGTAGAATGTCTCTTATTGTATGTCGTACAATGATTTTGTTACAAACACCTCACTCTTGTTAACAGATTGTGATATACAATCAAGCTGGTCAGCCTCCACCCAGGGACCTGGTAGAGCAGCATCAAAGCATCACTCAGAAGATCAACTGGCAAAAGTCCCAGCTACAGCATGGAGGAGCTGCCATCATGAAAGGTATTTTGATACGAAGGCTCAGCTGTGAAACCTGTCTTTCTCATCTGGACTGACTTTGGTACACCTAAGGCACCCAAGCAATGGTTCCTGACCATGTTTGATCTTCATTCTACAGAATACCTGACTCGATTGGAGCAGTACTATCAGTGGTACACAGAGGCAGCAAGGCGCCTTGGAAATGATGGAAAACGGGTATGGAGTGATTTCGTAGCATGGGGGTAGGATGAGGGAAGAAGATTCATTTTCTGGCCCCTAAGCTTGGTTGGACAATGGAGGACCACTTATTTAAAAGAGCACGGAATCTGTGTCAATACTAGGGTGGTTTGAACACAGGCCTCAGCTAAAATGTTGTCTCCTCTACTGTTCGGCAGGAGGCAGCTAAGGATGCTCTTTACAAGCGCAATCTGGTGGAGAGAGAGGTGAGTAGTGCCTGCAGATTCTTCTTTTCCCTGCCCGGTTGGTCAGAACAGATGGAGACAAGTCCAGAATCTTTTCCATCTTGTGTCATGGGTTCCCCTTTGTGGGTCCCTTCTTTCTTTTGGGCGGGAAGAAATGGTTTTCCTGAAGCATTTAAACTTGTACAACTTAACTGAGTACTTGTACTACCGAAAGCATTCTACAAATCAGGGTTTCCCAACCTTGGCAACATTTAAGTTGTGTGGACTTCAGCTCCCAGAATTCCCCAGCCAGAATGGTTGGCTGGGAAATTCTGGGAGTTGAAGTCTACATGTCTCAAAGTTGTCAAGATTGGGAACCTTTGCTACAGATGATAAGGCCGTTTCCCCAAGTCCTCCTTCGTCAAACTGTTCTGCGCTTTGGAGTGCATGTTTTTCCTGTAACTCTGACTGGGGCAGGTCCTTTCTCCTGTCTCCATAGACTGATAGGCTGATTCCCAAGCTGAGTCCAATTTAGAGTGCTATTTTTTTTTTTACTTTTTGAGGGAAGCTATTTAAATAATTACCAGTTTCCACAGATATTTCTTAGGGGATTTTGTTATCAAACATTAGGCTGGTGGCTGCCAGGCAGACAGTCTTCACAGTGGTTCTTAACAATCTCAAGTGTGTCTGCCCTGGATTTTTACAAAAAAAAACCTTTTTTTTTTTTTAATCCCAGCTTTTGATCAGCCTTGAGAAAATTTGTATGTTAGTGGTCTTTGGGGTTTTTTTAAATCCTGCCTGTTCTATTTTTATAAATAACTCAAGGCAGCACAAGCATTAATACTCTTTCCACCTCACAGCAACTCTGTGAGGTAGGTTGGGCTGAGAGAGAATGACTAGGTCACAGTCTCCCTTGCATGATAAGACGGGACTAGAACTTACAGTCTTCTGGTTTCGAGCCAGTGCCATTAACTACTGGACCAAACTGGTTCTTATGAATACCATAGATGGTTTACTTTTCTCTTTTCTTGGAAACATTGATGTTCGTGTTTTTGTCTTTCAGCTGCAGAAGTTTCAGAAGTGACGCTAAAGCACTTAAATTATCTATCCAAACAACAATGCTTTCAAGCATGGTCTTTTCACTGTTACAGGTGAAGGGTAGTGGAAAGACCAAAATGCATAGGCTGAATGCCGATGGATCAGTAATGCCACAAGCTGAATCTTGATTAATTGACTTTGCAGAAAACTCTTCCTAGGCTTCACCGTAATAGATTCACCATTATAACCCCAACGACCTGAAGAGAGACAATCTATGTGACAGGTGCCTTATAGCTACATCCATCACTCCTTCCTTCTTTTGCACTAAGCATTTTGCACATGCCACTTGAGCTGTTTTTTTTAGCCTGATCTAATCTAACCCCTTCTCGGTAGTCAAGGAGACCCTTGTGTGTGAAGTCTTGTACGCCCATGCCTGCGGAATTCCAATTTTTAAATCTACCTTGTATACCAGTTGAGATAGAAGTCCTGTTCACATGGTATCTTTCTCCACTGACCAGGGTAGTTAATAGTTTTAGGTGTGTTAATATAGATATCAATTGCAGTGATGGAAAGATTCCAAACCATCCCAAATTAACTGAGTTGGTCCAGTTTGGAATTTGGCACTTTCAGTGTGTTTAACGAGGTTCTTTCAGAAGCCATATAGTCTGCATTCATTTCCAAGGTTCCCTTATAGCTACTGCTCTGTTTTGCACCAGGCACTTTGCACACTGGTTTGTTTTTTTTTGGCCCTTATTGGTGTATACGGACAGCTAATAATAGACCTTTGGTTCATGCCATCACTTTTCAGTGGTCAAAGAGATCTGGTTGCAATTCCTTGTGTGTGCAGCCTTGCATGCCTTCTAAATCTGCCTTGTATGCCAGTTGAGGGGGCCCTGCATACATGGTAGCCTTCTCTACCGAGAGCTCACTAGCCTGCTCCTTAAACAATCTCTAATGTGGAGAAGTATGTAGCCACAAGGCTCATACTTTTTGAGGGGTCTGGACTGTAACATACACGTTCTCGTCGTTTCTACCTTGTCTTGGAGGGATCAAGAGATGAAGCATCTATGAGACTGCTAAATGAGATGGTTCCCTTCTTTAATGTATAGAGAGTAGCAGAGCAGACTTTCTCAGTTCTGGTGTACAAACGGTTTATGAAATTCATTCATGGTAGTCTCATGCAGGTTAGATTTTCTTCTTATATGTAATTGTGTTATTTCTGTGGAATGGAAGATGGTGTCTAATAACCCCAACTTCCTGATACATTCTAGAGAGAGGCTGTGTCACTTAGTTCCTCTTCCCCACACAAAGACAGGAGCGAGGCTGCTGGAACCTGTTGGGGTGCTTTTTTTGTATAATTCACTTTGACAGATGGAAATGTGATCTTTCCTAGTTCTTTTTTTGCTGTAAGATTTGAGTGTAAGAAATTAACTCAGGATTGTTGCTGCTGTGCTGCTCAGGATGAAATGAGGTGATGAACTGCGGGTTGTATCCAGGCGGTCTTCCCTGCCTCCGCCTACATACCTTTTTAAACCAAATTTTAGTTTATTGTAAAGATGATAAAAGGAAAACAAATGTACCATATACCCTTTTCTTTCCGGACCCATTTTCACAATCTCATTTTTATAAAAGTGCCTGTCTCTGAAACTATTGCTCAGCCACAGGTTTTCAGAATTGATGTTAAAAGGAAAGGCTGCAAATCTGTGTTATGGCTATATTTTATGTATAGGATAACATAAATATAAAACATTTTTAAGGGCGGGAGGGGAGAAAGATTGTTCAAAACAAAAAAATATTTAATGTACCAGTAATAAATTCTCCAAACCTCATTTTAATCTGGATTCTGTTTATGTGTCTGCTCAACAATAATATGCCATTCTTATGGAGTCTTCCATCTATGTTATCACTTCAATTTCTTTTTTTTCTCATCTATCTCTGTATAAAAACAGTTTAATATGTTAAGCTAATACAAGTTTAGCTTATGAAGTCATTTAATATTAAAATAATTCAGTTTCTATGGCTTCATCCTTGATACAGGCATGGTGTCTTTGATTGCAATTAAAGTTATATTTTCCATAGAAGAATACAAGCCTTATTATGACTTTAGTCCTGTAATGATGGACCCTTAGTTAGAACAGAATAATAGGGTTGGAAGGGACCTTGAAGGTCTTCTAGTCCAATCTTCTCTCTATTCAAACAGTCATAAATGTGGGAGATCAAAACACTGCCTAGTAAATTCTATGTGATAGTGAACAGCCTAGCTGTCATTTCTGTCATCTTCTCCTTTGCAAAACAATTAAATAGCATTTCACACATGGAGAAGAAAACCTTGGCATTTACAACTTTGTAGCTCACTGCAGCAGCTGGGCTATTAGATTGGCAATACATATGAGAAGTGATGCAGAAGGAACTGTGGGGGAAGTGCTCCACTGAATGTCCCTGCCAATATTGCAAATGAGTGCAGGAGGATGCACTAGCTTCTTCTGGGTATCACTGTCGCTTTAGTTCCTGGAAAGCTTAGCCAAGCCAAATGCAGATCCATTGGCACTTAGCATTCCAGTTTTGCTCCCAAGAAAAGCAGCTTGCTTGCACTGGCTTTGTTGTATTTGACTGACTGAAACCGCAAGAGTAAACACTATACAACAGAACCCCTTCCAGAAGCTGGCAGGTAGATTAGAGTCATCAAAAGGCCTAAGGAAGTAGAGTAGTGCAGAGAATTCCGGATGGCAATCTGCAGAAGAAAGAGATACAATCATTGGGTGTGACGTGTCCAGAAAGATTGACTGTATTTATATTTGTAACATGGGATCTTCTGCACACGTGTAAGCAGCACTGACAGCAATACTGCACAGGTTGAACTGTGTTGTCGATTGGGAAAAGACTAGGGTAGGAAGGGAAAGCTCAATATGATAAAAATTGCCAAACAAGCCTTGGGTAATGAGATCCTCATCCAAGGATACAATCCAAGCAGGGGATTATCTACCCTATTTTGGTAGGATCTGGCACAATCATTGCTATCAGTTTAGTACTGGGTGAAGACATTAAAAAATTAACCTTCTGTCGATGTTTAGTTTGCTCCAGTTTCATTACACTGTATAAATGTTTATTAACCACCGGATTTACACTCATACACATTTTTTGGAAACTATTAAAAAGCAATGCACAAATGATTAAGTCAACCACCAATCTATCTGCAACTAGGTTGTATCAAATAGCAGGTGGCATTTACATCATACTATTCATACCAGAAAGCCAGCTTGGTGTAATCTAAAAACCAGGAAACCTTCAGTTCTAATTCAACTTGTATACAAAAACAACTGGGTGACCTTGGCACAGGCAAGCTCTCCACCCTAGGAAGGAGGAAATGGCAAATACTTTTGAAATCTTGTCAAAAAACAGCAGGGATTTGTCCAGGCAATCTACTGGGATTCAACATTGACTTGGGCATTCTTCACCCTGTCATATTTGTATATGGCAGGTGGTCCTTGGCTTATGACCATACATTGTGGTGGTTATTTTATGACTTTTTCCCCCAGCAATCATTTAGTGAATGCCAGGATCATTAAGCCAATGTAGCAGTCATTAAAATCATTTTATCCAGTGGAAGTACTGCCAAAACCCAGCAAGAATTGTAGTGCAAATGGCTATAAATACAAGCCAGCTGCCAAGCATCCCAAGTGCAATCATGTTACCATGAGGAGGTACAATTGTCAGAACTCTGGAAGCAAACCGTAAGTAACTTTGTGGGTCCGTTGTAACTTTGAACAGTCACTAAGTGGCTAGTCGTTAAGCAAGGACTGTACACATTTCCTTGAAGGCAACCACCATAGTAGGGAACGGCACAATTTTTGCTCGTACTTGCTGTGTAAATGAAAATGAAAAGCTACTTTGTACATTCACATGAATCTCATTCAACTTCGTAGTCAATTTTCAAGCATACACTCATGAGATGATACTCTATACTATTTTTTCCTGTAAACTCTTGCATTATCCAGCTCTTCTACAGCTGAAAACTATTAAGGAATCTGTTATCAGTGAATTTTAATAATTTTTATATCACTGATCAGAAATTTATGATTCTGCAAGAGCTGAAGAATATACAGGGTGAATGCAAACTTACAAGTTAGGCCCACCGTGAGCTCTAAATCTAACCTCTTCCAGGCTGCTTTCCTAGGTGGCCGTTTGAGTCTGGGCCTGGTGTCCAGCTTGCGGAAGAGAGAGGCTGATAGGCTCTGGGTTGCCTGCCAGGTCTACTACTTCCAGGAATTTAAGGTCTGCAAATGCCTCTTCCGACACATTGGCTGCCAATAAGCGATTTGATCTACAAAACAAGGAGGGTAGAGTAATGTCACAGGAACTGGAGCCTGACATTTAAAAAAAAAATTGGAGGGAATTCCAAAGGAGGCTATTTTCATTGAAAATACCATTGTTTTGTTAGAAGTTGTATTAAAGAGGAAGAGCTACACATAAACCGAACTCACAGATCTATAATTTATGAGCTGTAAGCATGTAATATTCAGACTACAGTCGTTAGATATTCATTCTTCTACAAAAGGCAGTTAGTTGGCTTTTCGTTTACCTGAGAGAGATGACCCGTATCTTGGATGTTGTGAGGAAAGTTTCAGCCTTAATGACAATAATTCTGTTGTGTTGCAAGTATAGATATTCCAGTGATTCTGGAAGGTCTGGTGGAATGTATGACAACTCATTGAAACTCAGATCCAGGAGCTGGGAAGGAAAAACCCACTAAATATTAGGTTTGGGTGTCATTTACAATGGCAATAACTGAAGATAAGTTATCCTCCATAAGCCTACGTAATCTACAATTTCTGCAGACTTTCATAATGCACTATGTAAAGCAGCTTTTAATTAATTAATTAATTAATTAATTAATTACTTTATATTGCTGCCTATTTGCCCATGGCGACTTTCGGTGGCTTACAGAATGTAAAACCATATTTAAAATAAAAAACAATAAAAACTAACAACAAGAATCAAATAAATTATAATACATTAATATAATACATTAATAAATAAATACAATAGAACAATGTGGAAAAAAAATAAAAAATCACCCCCAACTCCTACCCCACGCCCGACGACCGCAGATCACATGAGCCATCCCGCTCTGGGTTCCCCAGGCCCACTGGCAGAACCAGGTCTTCAGTGCCTTCCAGAAGAGTATTAGGGGGCCATTCTAATCTCTGTGGGAATGATGTTCCAGAGAGAAGGAGCCACCAGAGAGAAGGCCTTTCTTCTGGGTCCCACGCAGCATTCTCTGCCTCCCCGCTCTTAATGGGTAGGGTAGATGTGACCAGCAAGAGATGTTCCCCTCAGATAACCTGGTCCCAAGACATGAAGGGCTTTAAAGGTGACAACTAGCACTTTGAATTGCACCTGGAAGCAAATCGGCAACCAATGCAGCTCCTGCAGGAGAGGTGAAACATGCACACCAGAGTCTGCACAAAACCATGTGGGCCGCTGCATTTTGCCCCAACTGGAGCTTCTGGATGTTCTTCAAGGGCAGCCCCATGTAGAGCGCATTGCAATAATCAAGACGTGAAGTGGCTAGAGGAGGGACAGTCGGTCCAGGAAAGGGCGTAACTAGTGCACAACCCACAGTTGTACAAAGGCCCTCCTGGCCACGACCGCCACCTGCTCTTCAAGCAGGAGTCGTGAGTCCACAAAAACCCCTAGATTACGTACAGGGTCTATTTGGGGTAGTGCCATCCCATCCAAGACCAAAGCCAATGAACCCCAAACCCAGAGCCACTTGGTTTTGCAAGGGCTTAGTTTCAACCTGTTGCTCCCCATCCATTTTCCTTTTGTCTATCCTGAATCCATAATAAAACAACTTTACTAGATGAACTAAATATGATATGAAGTTACTTGCAAATTCAAATTTAATTTTGCATGTGTGTAATTTTGCATTTGTTTTAACTTAATTTTGGATGTCAATTCCCAATTTGCTTTACTTGCACGTAAGCGTTTATTCTGAACAGCTCTACCATTTTGCTGTCCTAAAATGACCTTTTTTAGCCATATGAATATACATTGTGCAGCTCCCTCCCTGTTCCTTCTTGCCTCACCTTGAGCCCATGCAACTCATGCCAAGTCCCTGGAGAAATACTGCTGATCTTCAGCCGGTTGTGTGCCAGGTGCAGCTCTTTAAGTACGGTGAGGTTAACTAACCGTTCTGGAGAAAGAGCATTGAGCTGATTCTTCTGAAGGTTGAGGACTTGAAGACTGGTGGGCAACCCAGCAGGGAGAAGCGTGAGCCTATTGCCAGAGATGTCCAGAGTTTCTAGGAGCCTAAGCTTGCGGAAGGCCAGACGGTGGATGTGGGCACTATAAAGCCGGTTGTAACTCAGATTGAGCTCAGTCAAAGCATACGTGGTCGCAAAGTCATTCAAGCCAATGCGAGCAATCTGGTTATGCAGCAGCATCAAGGATCGGACACGTCGCGGAAGTCCAGGTGGGATTCCATCCAGCTGATTATTGTACAAATGGAGGGTATGCAGGGAGCGCAAGTGGGCAAAGGCCTCTGGGTGCATCCCTGAAGTTGTTAAAGCATTGCTTTGCAATAGGAGATACTGCAGGCCTCGCACGCGGCTGAGACGCTCTGGTGGTAGTCCCTTCAAGTGGTTTCGGCCCAAATGTAGTATTACTATGTTGGCAGGAAGACCAGCAGGCACCTCTGTCAAGTTGTTGTTGGAAAGGTCCAGGTATTCGAGGCTCTTCAGCTTGCTATAGAGATACAGGATAAGCCTGATGAACAGCCTGGAGAGTCTTCCAAGGCCCCCTTCTCAAGCAAGTTGCCTATTCAAAATCCGGAAGTTTTAAATTATACTGCTGTTTGCCAGACCCAGTTTCACTTTTTACCATTCTTACCTGAACGTGGGATGGCTCAGGCCCTCACTGGATAGATAATTGTTCTGCAGGTAAAGCTCCCGGAGGCGCCCCTGGCTGCTCAAGGCCCCTTTAGGGATACGAGAAATGTGATTATTCTGCAAAAGGAAGTCTTGTGGTCAAAGAAATGCCCCACTCTCGTTCCCCCAACAATTTAGAACGGGGTTATAGCATGAGAATGGCCAAAAAGCTCTTGCGGTATTGCTATCGTGCAGAAGCAGAATAAATAGGAAATGAACACCCATGGCTGGACTGCGGGAACTAATCACAAATCTGGCATCTTCCACAGAATCTCCTTGGCTTTTCTGGCAGTTTATATTAAATAGAGAAACCAATTTTAACCTTCCAGGACTGAGTCCAGCTGCACAGAAACCTGCATTCTTGAATATATTTGCTCATAATTAAGACTTAGAGAACATGGAAGAATGTGCATCTTTTCATGCTTAGACATTTTCCAATAGTCAAGTAATATGGTTTATCTAGTACAAGTAGAAAGAGTACAGGTAATCCTCGACTTACAACCACAACTGAGCCCCAAATTTCTGTTGCTAAGTAAGATGTGCTAAGTGAACTTTTCCTCATTTTATGCCCTTTCTTGCCTCACTTGTTAAGCTGTTAAGTTGGTAACACAGTTGTTAAGTGAATTGGGCTTCCCCACTGCCTTTGCTTGTAAGAAGGTTGCAAAAGATAATGACCCCAGGACCCTGCAACTGTCATAAGTATGAGTCAGTTGACAAGAATCTGAATTTTGATCATGTGATCATGTAGGGATGTCCCAATGGTCATAAGTGTGAAAAATGGTCATAAGTCCTTTTTTTCAGTGCTGTCATACTTTGAACTAAAGGAACTGTTGTAAGTCAAGGGCTACCTATATTAGATATTTTGACACCTTGAGTTATTTATAAAAAGAATAAAGGCAGGATAATAAACAAATAAAACATAGTTTCCTCAGACAAGGAAAGTGCATTCTGAAGGGATACATTCTGAAGGGATACCATTCAAGAGCAGTTTTCATGGTTCTGTAGGTTTCATACGTTAGCCCATCATTGTGTTTCCTAAAAAAGAATTAGCTCTGATTGTCAGTTAACATTTCTTTTTAACAAAGCAGAGAAGAACTGACAGGGAATTCACAACATACAAAAGATTGTGAGCATATGTGTTATGCCACTTTTCAGGTGCTTTCCAATCCGTTCCAGGTGCTTCACCATGGAGGGTGAGCTTATACAATTGAGAATTGAGAAACAATTGAAAAACTGAGTTTAACAAAACAAAAGATTGCATTCTTTCTGCTAACGGCACTCTCTCTTAGAGCTTTCCAGTTCATATGGTTCCGGCCAACCTTTTTTTCCTACCCTGACAGGATGGGAGACAGCTACAGACCTGCAAATGGAGGCGAACAACACCACGGGGCAAATTCTGGGGCACATAGGTGAGCAGATTGTTGGAAAGGATCAGGGTGCTGACAGCATCCGAGCCATTGAAAGCATTAAAGGACAGACCAGTGTTGTTCAAGTAATTGTTGTGCAGATAAACAGACCTGAATGGAGAGAAAAAAAATGGAAAGAACACATTAAAATTAGCCTAGAGTAATATCCTAGAGATATATTGGCACTAAAGTATCTTGAAGGGATAGAAGTAAAAGATTGCACTTGTAGGGCATATTCTTCTCTTCTGAGTACAAGTAGTCCTCAACTTACAACAGATAGTTGTAGTTTTGTGACTGTTCCAAGTTACAATGGCACTGAAAAAACGACTTGTGACTGCTTTTCACACTTAAGAAGATTGTAGCATCCCCATGGTCATGTGATCAAAATTCAGACGCCTGGCAACTGGTTCATATTTATAACAATTTCAGTGTCCCGGGTCATGTGATCACCTTTTGTGACCTTCTGACAAGCAGTAAGGAATACATTTTACAATCGTGTTACTAACTTAGCAACTGCAGTGATTCACTTAACAAATGCAGCATGAAAGGTCGTAAAATGGGGCAAAATTGACTTAACAAATGTCTCACTTAGCAACAGAAATTTGGGACTCAATTATGGCCATAAGCTGTATTCTACTTTCCCAACAAGCAACATTGGCCAGCCAAGAGCCCAGGGATTACACACACCACCTTACCCTATTTGTCCCGGTTTCTGCCATGTCTTACAGAGTTTATCTGTGTACCTCTCTTTGATAAAGAATTTCAACCTTCCCTATTTAGTAATTCAGGTCAGGCCTTTTGCTGCTGCTTGAGCAGATGGTGTGATTTCCAGTGCCTTGAGTTTTCCGAAAATTGGCATCATTCTCATCCTCCCACCCCCTGCCCAGGGTGCCATTCTTGTTATGTAGCTTTACAAGGAGTTGGCCAGCACCTTGTAGTCTGGCTTTACTTCTAATAAAATGTGGGGATTTTTTTTCTCTTAACTTTACCTGAGACCAGGCTTATGCCCAAAGGTGAGTGGATAGAGCCACGTCAGGCAGTTGGCAGCAAGGTCCACAATGCGTAGTGTGTGGGGTAGGAACTGTGGTGCTACAGATAGCTGGAAAAGAAATGTGAAGATATGCACTGAAGGAAGATTTTCTCATTTTATGTATACAATTGGAACATGGAAAATGGGAAACGTGAACCAAGAAAAACACAAGATGGTCAAAATGGAAATAAAGCATATTAAAATGAGTGCTTTAATAATATGAACAGAGATGGACTGGAGAGCATGATACAGGACATGAAAGCATATGATGGAATCAAGTGAAGTGGCCATAATATTCAAAAAAGACTGCAAAGTGAGGGTTCAACTACAATCCAATAAATGACACAGTAGCATCTATTAAAATTAGTGGACATTCAATTAACATTGATGTTGTATAACCAAATGCACCAACTACAGATACAGTGATGAAAGATACCAAACAAGCCCATAGCAAATTGCAGGAGGTGCTGAATATGATATCAAGATAGATGTGCTACCGGTAGTACTGAGTGATTGGAATGAAAAAGTTAGAAGAAAGGAAAAACCTGTAATTAAGAGGAAAAATTGATTAGGTGCAATGCAGAAAGTTAAATGCAGTTTTGTGAAGAGAATGCTTCTTTACTGAACCTCTGCTTCAAGCAACATAAACATAACAGCAAAACCAACCATAAGGAGAAATATAATCCAGTCTAGGTTCAGGCTGTGCATGAATAATAAACTATTGATGTTAATATATGGGTTAAACTTTGAAAATTAATTTGCTTGGTATACCAGATTTTAACTAGTGGATAAATTATATGAAATAGATTCTAAAGAGCTAAGAGATCACTGAGCAAGCGAACAGTGGAAATTAACAGGGGTCTGTCGAGGCAGTTTAAGGGAGAGTCACTAACAAATTTTAATCTAAATCAAGAGTCAAGTACTTAACTAAAGTATGATTCTAAAAAGAGTTAGAAAATGAAATAAAAACATTTCTACTGTAAATAAATACTCGAAGAAGAAAAAGAAACTGAACAGTGTGCAACTATGATTTGCAATGTATGCAGCAGGTCTTCTTGCCTAGAATCAACTGGAAATAAATTTGCAGCACAGTAGAAGCAACCTTAATATGAAAACAAAAGAGAAGCAAGGACAGAAGACAATAGTATCAATCAGGAGCATGAGGATTAGATGTCTGGAAATGTAATTACTGGAACTTTTGAAGATAAAACAAGTTCTGAACAAACTTTTCCTTCAAAAGATGGAGAAAGCACAAACGGTTCTTGACTTGCTGTTAACCAGTAGGAAAGACTCCGCTGAACTAAGGGAAAAAAGGAGCAAGTTAAACCGAGCATACTCAAATACATATCTTCGACTTCAAAAAAGCAAATGTTAACAAACTCAGAACAAATATGAGATGGAGAAGCTACTGAGAAAACAGCTTAAGAATGGTAGGAGTTCCTAAAGAAGAAAGAATTGCTTATTTTGTGAAATGGGTGGCTATATCAATTGAACAAATAAATACCAAAATTCCAATAATGCAGAAAACTAGTTAGGCTTCAGAAAAGAAAGACACCAGATAACTAATACTTAAGAAGGATAATAGAGAGAGCAAAAGAATATAAGAGGGAGATACGTATGCCTTTTTATTGATGACAATAAAATTTTTATTTATTGTACTTTAAGAATGCTGAAATTTATCTAGCTTCCTTCCATTTGTATTTTTATTCTATTTTTATAGAGATCTTTTAGTGTGTTATTACTGTTCCATATTTTCTTATATACGGGCTGTAAATAAAATAACAAAGAAGTATTGCAGGAAATAAATTCAATCATGAAGTTACCCTCAGTGGTGTTAGATGGGAAGTACAGTAGGACTTCAGGCAGGCCTATTCTTACCAAATCTTAACAAAAATGAGGGTGAAGCTACTTTTCTACTCACAGTTCAGAACCCTGTTATCCCTAATAGAGTTGCAAAGTTTCTATTTGCTGCACTTTCTGCAAGAAGGCATTAAAAATCCTAACCGTAGAGTGATGACATGATTTTTTATATGTTTTTATTTTTATTTTCCTTATTCATAATTTATCACTCATGTAGTTTTAGTCTGTTTCATTTAAATTTCCTCATTCTTTGGTTGTCAAATCCTGATTTTGTAGGTTTTATACATTAATTTTCCACTGTCTTTGTTGCATTTGGTTATTGCTTTAAATTTGGTTTGTTTTTTTCAATTTTGCCTTTTTAATTTTATTTTCTCCTTGGATTTGAGAGGTAAAGCCAGTATTCTACCACAGAGCATGCCAAAGCATGTTCAGGATAGTTAGCATGGCTATAATCCCCTGCCTGGGATTTGAGTTTGGAGCGGTGACTATTATCGAAGGGTTAGAAAAAAGATTGAGCAAATAGTCTGAAAATTAAAGATAATTTGATGGGATTTTCTACAAGGATATTGTTTTTCTGAATTGATTCAACAATTTGAAAATCCAAATAAATCTATCTAAGAAATCCAATTTAAATTTAGAAACCTAAATAGAAAGGGAGGTGTTCCATCTTGGCATAAATCATGTCCATTTTTAATTTTTTTTGGGTGGGGTGGTGGTGATCAGCCGAAGAAGTTATATATTTCTGGGAGAGGAAAAAAAAAATTTGAATCGAGATTGATGCCTAGTGGCTACATAGACATAACCATGCAGTTCTCTTGGCAATAATATGGAATTGGATTGCCACTGCCTTCATCTAGTTTTGCTTTTGTTTTTTTTGTTTTGCTTCTCAGACTCTAGCCTACAATCCTGGTATTCCTTGGTGGTCTCCGATTCTAGTACTAACCAAGTAAAAACCCTGCTTACTAAACCAGTCAGATTTGGCCAGGTGAAGAGAAGTAGTGATTGTGCATGGTGACCATGGTCCAGTGGTCTACCCTGAGTCCTTTGGAGGGAAAGTGGGCAAAAAATATAATAAAAAAATATCAATGATTCCTTCTTTTAAACAATCCTAGTTCTTATCCATTAAGCATTTGATTTTTATATAGAAATCTCAGAGCCTAATTTTTTCATCTTGTAGTTCCTTAATTTAGCATTTCCCATCTTCTTTGCTGATGTTTGTGTTTTTCTGTGTTTGTGCAAGTAAAAACCCACATCACTACACCGTATGCACTTATTGATCTAAATATGCTCACCTTGTTATTGGCCAGGTAGATGTACTGAAGTGACTGCAGTGATTCAAAGGCTTCATCTGGGAGACCTTTAAAATGGGACAAACTAGAATAAGGTCTATCTATATTTGGGGTCCTGCCTAAGTTGCTGTGTCAGTTAGATTTCTTACCCCATGCAAGACCTCTCAGTATCCACTCATCTACTTGGTATTCACCTCTCCCTATCCGCTCATGCCATGCTCAGAAAGTAAAGAAAACTGGTTTGCAGTCTCCTGCTGATTTAGTCAGCTATGAGTGAGACTAAGCTGCTATTTATCAGCCCTTCCACACAGAGCAGCCCCCTTTCCTGTAAAATATGCTTGAGTTCTATCCTGCCTTTTATATAAGCTAAAGCAGCATATTGTATGTAGCACACCCTCCTGTTTTTGCTTTAAATACCCTGTAAGATGAGATTGGACTGAGAGGAAGTGACTGGCCCACAGTCACCCAATGAGCTTCCACGATTGAGGGTAGACTGGCCGCCTTCTAACCAGTTCAACTGGTTTTTAACCCTCTATTCATGGAAGAAAAGCAAGTGATACTTTACATTTCAAAGAGCCCTTCCACCCACCAATCCATTTACCCTTAAAGAGGACAATGATCTTAAACTGATTAACTACTGCTTGTGTACATTAAACGGAAGGATTCCCAGGAAATACCTGGGAACGCTGGCTTACCATCAGAGGTGATCAGATTGTCATGGAGGTTGAGGGTTCGTAGGTTGATCAGGCGGGATAGTTCATGGTAGGGTAGCTCTTGCAATTGATTATTCTACAGAAGGAAGATCAGCACTGTATAACAAGGGTAGGAAGGCATCCATACCATCATGGTATCTTCTTTCTCTGCGCACCTGCAGTTTCTGAGAACTAATATTTTACCCCACAGAGCAAAGCTCATTATCTGCCCCAATAGGTATCAGGGTAACATCACCTGCAATGAAAGATGATGGATGTCCGTAGAGATATTGCTGGGGAAGATGTGCAAGTCAAGGCCACCACAATCCACTGTCTCCTCTGTCGGGCACGTGCATTGAGCTGGGCAAACAGACACATTCTGGGCAGGGTCCCCACGGGGCTGGGATGTTGACAGTGACAGGTCATCATCTTCATCCTCATCCTCCTCGTAGTTTTTCAGCAGAAAGCTATAAGGAATACTTGCCAGGAGTAGTAGTAGATGACCACTGCACAGCTGCAGGGGCAGAAGAGGGGGCTAATCAATGGTGCTCTGTACAATAACATAACATGCTTTTTCTCTCAATGCTTCTCCTGTCTGCTCCATTGGGTATCCAGGAAGCACTCCTCCCCTCTCCCTTCCCAAGTCTGTGCCTTT